GGACCCCCGAGTCCAGCCGGGACCCCCCCCGAGTCCAGTCGGGACCCCCGAACCCAGCCAGGGACCCCCCCTAGTCCTGCCAGGACCCCTGAGTACAGCCCGGGATCCCTGAACCCCCTGAGCCTGGCCCGGGACCCCCGAGTCCAGCCCGGGACCCCCGAGTCCAGCCCAGGACCCCCGGGTCCAGCCCAGGACCCCCAAGTCCAGCCCGGGACCCCCGAGTCCAGCCGGGACCCCCGGGTCCAGCCGGGACCCCCGAGTCCAGCCCGGGTCCCCCAAGTCCTGCCAGGGACCCCTGAGCCTGGCCCGGGACCCCCGCGTCCAGCCCGGGACCCCTGAACCCCCTGAACCTGGCCCAGGACCCCCGAGTACTACCCGGGACCCCCGAGTCCTGCCAGGGACCCCCGAGTCCAGCCTGGGATACCTGAACCCAGCCAGGGACCCCTGAGTCCAGCCGGGACCCCTGAGTACAGCCCAGGACCCCTGAACCCCCTGAGCCTGGCCCGGGACCCCCGAGTCCAGCCCGGGACCCCCGAGTCCAGCCCGGGACCCCCGCATCCAGCCGGGACTCCCCCCCGAGTCCTGCCAGGGACCCCCGAGTCCAGCCCAGGACCCCCGAGTCCAGCCCGGGACCCCTGAGCCCAGCCAGGGACCCCCCCCAAGTCCTGCCAGGGACCCCCGAGTCCTGCCAGGGACCCCTGAACCCAGCCCGGGACCCCCGAGTCCAGCCCAGGACCCCTGAACCCCCTGAACCTGGCCCGGGACCCCCAAGTCCTGCCAGGGACCCCTGAACCCAACCCAGGCCCCCTCCAAGCCTGGCCAAGGTTTCCTGAGCCTTTCCAGAACCCCACAAATCCCCCCAAAATTCCTCCAGAACCCCCCCAAACCCCTCCAGATCCCCCCCAGGCCCCTCCAGGACCCTCAAAACCCCTCCAGGACCCCACAAATGCCCCCCAAATCCCCCCAAACCCCTCCAGATCCCCCCCAAACCCCTCCGGGAGCGCCCCCAGACCCCCAAATCACTCCGCTGCCCCCCACCCAGCGGCCACCCGGATCGAGGTGCCCCCTCAGAGCCTTCCAGAACCCCCCCCCTCCCCCCCAGACCCCTCCACCCCCCCCAAAACCCCTCCAGGACCCCCCCCCCCCCCCCCAAACCCCTCCAAGACCCCCCCCAG